GTAGTAGTAGTAGTAGTAGTAGTAGAGGTCGTTCTAGTACTACAACTACTACTAGCCAGTATCTAGTAGTACTACTAGTAACAAGAACCAGCAAGAAGTAAAACCAGCAGGCAACTCTTCTTCTTGGTGAAAGCACAACACCAACATAAAAATCCAATTGTTTGTGTAAGACCAAGTTCTTGAAACCAACATATTTTCCAAATATCTTCCCTGTAGAATTTGTGAACAGTTCTTGTATTGACAATATTAATTTGGAACTGAGTCCAATGTGTTCCTTTGTGACTTGTGGTTTGAGTTTGATAGGTAATTTTTTATTCATGTGCTTGTGGGCACCAAATTTAGCCATTTCTGCAATGTTATTGAGCCTTCTTCTTCAAGGACCATCTCTATCCATCAAACAAAATATCCATCAATGTTGATACTTTCACAATCCTGCTGGTACCCATTTTTCAGTTTGACATACTTCATGAATGTACAACAAATGACTCTATTACAATTTGCTCTTCATTCTTCAGCATCTAGTACTATGTGTTGTCATCAATCATGACAGGTMTAGTACCAACATGCAATTTACTAAGCACTGGATTTATCTTCCTCCTTTTGGGAGGTTTGGTTCTGCCTGCAACAATATGATCATCAGCATCCTCTGATGAGGCAGTTACTAGTAGTAGTAGTAAGAATTATTTCTGAAATATGGCATGTCTCTTCTGTATTTTCTTGTTTTGTACCTGTCAATCCTCTGCAGTTCTAGGTTTGAGGCCTTCATCACAATAGTGTGATCTCCTGGTAATCTGCCATTTATATTTTTTGAAAGTGTCATTTAGAGAAACTCAGAAAATATCATGCCATCATTCATTGTTGTTGTTGTACACTTATGTTGTTGGATAAGCAATATCTTTTGGGAGTTTGTGCCAAGTTTTTAAAATTCTTGAATTGATCATTTGAAATTCTTGCTCCTCTTCTTTCAAGCTATTTGTTCTTAAAATATCAAGAAAGCTCCCCCTGATTACATCATATTTAAACCTGTGGTTTGTTGTTTTCAGTTCAAGAAATGATGTGTTGATTTTTCTCTCCAAAAATAGAAATCTTTTGCTGATGAGACTCATCTTATTGGTAGTAGCTTGTTTGTTCTCAGGTTAGGTTTTGTCTACTGTCATATACATATGAACCAGTGACACCTGGTGAGCCTGAGTAGTAACATACAATTACACTTGAATCTGATGCTGGTAGAATCTGATGCTGGTACTTTCTTGGTGGGTGCATTGCTAAGAAGAAGTAGTACTGTTCTTTAACATTTTCATGAACCTAGATGTGTGGCAAGTGAGGTGGAAATTTGCAGTTAATTAATATTGTCTATCTATATACTGCTCAATTTTATTTCTAGTTACAGAGAGGAGGAGATTATGGTGGTGAGGAACATGTTACTCTAGTGATTTTGACATTCTATTTACCATGCTTGTCCTGAATACTGTATTTGTACTAACATGGTTGGTGTTACTTGTAATGTTCCACTGCTGGTACTACTAACATTAAGCAGACAAGCAATAGC